TCGGAATGATTAAAGCTCAGCCGTGATTACTGATAATGAGACTTGGTCTATCAGTATTGGAGCTTGGCCTAGTCTTAAATATCAGCCTAGGTTTTTAATGTGTGGATTAGAATTTGTAGGTAAAGTAGTTATGCAGCTGACTTATTGTCGAAAATGCTCTAAGTTTATATATATATATATATATATATATATATATATATATATATATATATATATATATATATATATATATACATATATATGTGGGTGTGTGTGCGCGTGTGTGTGGGTGTGGGTGTGTGGGTGTGCGTGTGTGTGTGTAACCAAATATAATATATTTTGCTGAAATGACGATTTCTATATTAATCGTTAATTATTATTTCTAAATCGTGGATCACTTTTTTTTTTAAAGTTTGTGGCATAATTATTTTTTTTTAAATTCAGAAAGATGTAGGCGTCATAATCCATGTCAAAATTGATATATTCGTGTAGTCGACCCAGCTGGTGCCCTCCCTTTTGTTATGTTTTAAATATAGGAGCTAAAAAACTAAATATAGGAGCTAAAAACTAAATATAGGAGCTAAAAAACTGTTTAAGAATTGGCTAAAAATAGAGGGGTGTGACGTTTTGTTTATTCCTGATCTAACACTTTTTTAAGATGGGTAATTAGCGAATGAACCAGTTGCAGAGACGGTCAATTAGAGACCCGTCACCAAAGTAGACGTCTTATGGTGTACCTACAGACGTGTACTTATGTATCCCTCATACGTCACAGTCTAACGTCACAAAAGTAGGCGGAGCAAACCTTGTATTGACTTCTGGCAGGGAGATAACCTAACGATACACACATTTGATTATTTCCCCTCACGTAGTTCAACAACTTTTGTGTGCCTCCGGCTTTTAATTGATACCCAGCAACAGCTGAGGCTGTCTTCTATCACGTGACTTGCGTGATGGACGACTTCCGGTACCAAAATTTGTGGGGTCAAAAATCCAGTACTATGGTAACGAAGAGAGTTCTATAAGGGCCAAGTCAGTGTTCAACTTCATATATAAAAATCAGTTATTAATAAAGTAATGGAAATCATGCGTTTAAATATTTAAATAGGTTCCTTAGTTTTTGGTTTATTGCTAGTTATCTTAGAAGTTATGTATATTTTTGAATTAAAATTATACATTTTAAATGGAATCAGCCAAACGGCACAGAGATAATTTTCTTTTATCTCTTTAATCCGTATGATGGAATTAAGCGTAAATTTGCTTTATAAGCAAAAGAACTGCGTGGGCGGAAAAGAAACGTAATTTTGCAACAACAAAAAACACCAAATTGTACAGTAAATATGTGATGCTCTCCTGCCTAGTATGCGGAAATTCCCAAAAATGTCTAACTTAGAAATGTTTGTAAATGGGGGGTTATATTGTAAGGTGAGCTAGCAGCTAATCAATAATTGCGTGTATTGATGCTTTTCTTATCTCCCTTATTAGAAAATAAATTGGGGAGGCTTCGTTGGGCTCTCTGGAATAAATATGCTCTAAAAATAACAAGCTTCATTATACAGCATCACATTAAAATTATTACAGTCTGAAGAACAAGCTCATAACGGGAGAAGAGGGCGTCGTCAGGATTACACCCCCCCCCCCCAGTGGGGAGTAGTGCTTAAGTCAAATCTAGAGGGGCGTCTGCCTTACATCTACCCTATTGGGGAGTCAGAATTACCCCCCCCCCCACACACACACACACATCACAGTGGGGAGTCGTGCTTACGTCAAATCTAGAGGGGCGTCTGCCTTATATCTACCTTATTGGGGAGTCAGGATTACACATCCCTATCCTACAGGGGAGTAGTGTTGACGTCAAATCTAGAGTGGCGCCCCTATTAAGCCGTCAGAATTACAGTGGGGAGTCAAGCTTACATCTCCCTGACGCTTCTGTGAGTCGGAATAATGTCTCCACCCTCCCCCTCTCTTTACAAGGGAGCGACATGACTCTTTGAGATGGTAACCGGTCACCATGCTGATAGTGTGAGATGGTAACCGGTCACCATGCTGGTAGTGTGAGATGGTAACCGGTCACCATGCTGGTAGTGTGAGATGGTAACCGGTCATCATGCTGGTAGTGTGAGATGGTAACAGGTCATCATGCTGGTAGTGTGAGATGGTAACCGGTCACCATGCTGGTAGTGTGAGATGGTAACCGGTCATCATGCTGGTAGTGTGAGATGGTAACCGGTCACCATGCTGGTACTGTGAGATGGTAACCGGTCACCATGCTGGTAGTGTGAGAGGGTAACCGGTCACCATGCTGTTAGTGTGAGATGGTAACCGGTCACCATGCTGGTAGTGTGAGATGGTAACCGGTCATCATGCTGGTAGTGTGAGATGGTAACCGGTCACCATGCTGGTAGTGTGAGATGGTAACCGGTCACCATGCTGGTAGTGTGAGATGGTAACCGGTCATCATGCTGGTAGTGTGAGATGGTAACCGGTCACCATGCTGGTACTGTGAGATGGTAACCGGTCACCATGCTGGTAGTGTGAGATGGTAACCGGTCATCATGCTGGTAGTGTGAGAGGGTAACCGGTCACCATGCTGTTAGTGTGAGATGGTAACCGGTCATCATTGCTGGTAGTGTGAGATGGTAACCGGTCACCATGCTGGTAGTGTGAGAGGGTAACCGGTCACCATGCTGTTAGTGTGAGATGGTAACCGGTCATCATGCTGGTAGTGTGAGATGGTAACCGGTCATTAAGCAGGGGATGTATGGTAATATTCTGTTTTCCTCATAGTTTGAGATGGTGTTGTTGGCACGATAGATGTGAGACGGTGTTGTTGTCACGATAGGTGTGAGATGGTGTTGTTGTCCCTCTAAGAGTGAGATGGTGTTGTTGTCACTGTAAGTATGAGATGGTGTTGTAGTCACGATAAGTGTGAGATGTTGTTGTTGTCACTGTAAGTATGAGATGGTGTTGTTGTCACGATAAGTGTGAGATGTTGTTGTTGTCACTGTAAGTATGAGATGGCGTTATTGTGTGCCCAGGTTGTGTGAGATGGTGTTGCTGTCCCTCTAAGGGTGTGTTTGCCCCTTGTTGTCTGTGACTCACACACCATTACCCGCTGGTCTGACAGGCTTCAGACCACCGAACGTGCCAGAGACAGCAAATTAAAAGGTCAAATCCATGACGGTGAGCCAAACTGGCCGGGGATATCCAGCTGTGTGGAGGTGGGGTGATAGGGAGGGGATGTGAGTGGCAGTGAGGGGTGTATCAATAATTATTTCTCGTGCTTTGAATGGTGTATACTGGCACTTAGGTGAGCGACGTAAAAGTTATCTCCCATGCCATTGACAATATGTGAATTACTTCCCTTGAAGCGATAGCGACTTCTCTATCCCAGCATTACTATTGAATCTTTCAAGTTTACAACTCCTGTGTGTGTTCACGGAAAGAAAAAAAAAACTAATATTGTAATGTTATTAAGTTATGTGTTTAATAAAGTTTATTATTCGATTGCAAGCCAAAATTGGATAAAATTAGCGACCGATTAATTTAATCATCTTGACACAAAATTACTTAAGCTATCAAATTTTTAAATCTATTTTTCATCACGAGTTATCTCCCCGCGATGTCGGCCATTTAATCTCGTCAATTCTCGCGTGTTAACGCCATCTTGAATTTTCACCACTGTATTGATTCTCGGGTATAGACTTGAAACACTTAGTTTTACTTTCTAAGGGGCGAGCACTGAGCGGGAAAAGGGGACTAAACTGAGTCGGTCTCTCGTGGGATCTTGAGAAACTCAACACGTGACTAGAATCCCGTTTGGGCAGCGAGAAGACCGCGTTGATGGTCAGAGGAGCGCCAGTTCCGGTGGCAAATAGCATTAAATACGACCGTCAAGGACCCCCAGCCCTCCGCACTTGCGCGTGAATTAATTAGATCGGGGCGACTTATCAACTTTTGTCCATCTTCATAATCACTCAGTCATCGCCCTCGTGAAATGGGTTGTCCATCTCGCCCTCATTTCAAGCCCAACTCTGCGTGACTCGAGAAATCACGCGAGAATCCCCAGCGCTTGTCACGTGTGCCCGACCACGTGACGTTTTGTTCCCAGGGACCCTTGCGGTGATGAATGGCGTGTTTGGTGGTTTCAACATGTCCAAACGCCCCCGTCTGCGCATGTCTGGAAGTAACATGGGGATAAGCATTCTTGTTTGTGTAAACTTGTCATTTAGAAAAGACAAGTTCTAGTGCTCATTGTAAAATATTTTTCATTTTGAACTCTTCGTGTTAGATTTCCAGTTACACTAGGGTTTATGTGGCTTTCTCTTATCCATTGGTATTTTTAATTAAATGAGGTGGGTGGGTGGAGGGGGGGGGCTGGACGGTTGCATAGGCAACACGACTTAACAATGACAAACAATTATTTATTTAACATTTAAATGTATTAATTACATGTATTTTACATTTGTAATATATATATATACTTATATACATATATATATATACTTATATACATATATACTTATATATATATAATATATATATATATATATATATATATATATATATATATATATATATATATATATATGTATATATATATATATATATATATGTATATATATACATGTATATATATATATATATATATATATATATATATATATATATATATATATATATATATATATATATATATATATATATATATATATATATATGTATATATGTATATATGTATATATATATACATATACATATTTACATATATATATATATATATATATATATACATATATATATATATATATATATATATATATATATATATATATATATATATATATATATATATATATATATACATATATACATATATATGTGTGTGTATATTTTTATATACAGTGTATATAAGCTAGACAGTTTTATAGCTTTAAAATCCAATTATTCCACACAGAAATGATCTTTCGAGCAAAGATCTTAAAATCGAGCAAAGATCTTAATACTTTCCTACTCCCCAGGAACAGAAAAGGACGCATCCTCTGGCAATGATGGCAGTCCTAAATCAAGACAGGAGAGTCTCAATGATTCTACAGGGAACTCTGCAGTCAGCCTACACTCGTATCAACTTCCGGTCATATGCGTACTGTGTCTGCTGCACATGTGTGTATTCCATAACTTCCGCTTGCCGACGTGAAGACACGTTTGGAGCCAACAGCTTAGGGCTAAGAGCTGTAGGAGAAACGATTTTCAGATATTCAGCTCCGAGCTAAGAGCTGTAGCGGAAACGCTTTAAAATGTTCAGTTTTTAATTCAGTGGACAAGCCTTCCCATCTTCCTATCTTGACCTATCGTGGAGTACAGAGCTAAATCAAAGTGACCGATGGTCAAAACTTTGTCGTTTGTTGTCTCCAACACGACTAGGTCAAAACCACAACTTTGATTGGATGAACCAAAAGATGAACCAATGAAAGGCTTGATTGGGAAGGTCAAAGGCTAAAGGTTACTTGAGCTCGGGGAGTCAGCTGACCACACGGAACCAAGCCGAGGCAGAACGAGGCGTGTTCTGGGAAGTGAGCTTTGACCCGGATGTTTACGTTTTATTTCTCACATGTAGTTCTCAATGCCTTGTTTTCTGTAGCGTTATTTTGTTAGAGCCACGCTAAGTTCTAGGAAACAGTTGACGTCATCACTTATAAAAACTCATCCAGTTAAGGTAGTCCGACAATCAACAGTATACCTCAATGACATATTTTTCTATGTTATATGTTGAATTTTTTTCATTTCTCACACATACCAACAATCATCTAGGAAACCACGCATTATGCGATGTATGTTTTTCACTGTATACTTTATTTTTAATAACGCGTCTCAAAAAAAATGTCTATTTATAGTAAAAACAAATATTTTTATCAAATCATTTTTTTAAATATCTTATTTAATCACGTTTAATTGATTTAATTAAATATACTTTAAAACCTCTATTACGCATTAGCTAATTTGCAAAACGCCTCCACATTTCTATATATTTTTTCTCCTGAAATTGAAATGAAAAAAAAAGCAGGCCAACTTAACACTAGGAACACTAAGGTCAACATTGGTTAATGTAGCAGGGACCTTGTGATAACAAAATCACGTGATCCCCGCTCGCCCCCACGTCGACAAAGGGTTAACCTTGTCTAACGGCGACGTCACCAGCCAACCCCGTCATGTGACTGATCGCATGACTGATGAGCAAAAGCACGGCTGGGTATTAATCACCACGAAGATCATTGTCGCATTCTTAACTCCTGCTAGAGTGTAATCTCTTGTCTAATACAACATTGACAGACGCGTGCAGACACATTGACAGATGCTGCATCAGTCTCTGACACTAGCTAATTCCATCTCGCCCCTGCACGTGCCAGTATAAACGAAACCTCTACAATAAACACTGAGTTATGAGCGCTGAGTACTCACGAACACCTTGAAATACGAACAATCCAAAAGTTGGAACAGGAACTTAGACAGGAAAACGAAATAGATTTCCGTTTTATTATCCAGAGAACAAATAGCTTTGAGGAATCTTTTGAACTTCGTTTCAAGACAAATGAACATTTGTCACTAATAGCAATCAGTAACCTAAAATTAAACGCATGACAACTGAAAGCAAGCAATTTCATATGAAGATTGTTTAGCTTAAAAAAATTAGTTAAATAATCGCATTAATATTACGGCAAATTACATAAAATTATATATGCAGTATATATATATATATATATATATATATATATATATATATATATATATATATATATATATATATATATATATATATATATATATGTATATATATATATATATATATATATATATATATATATATATATATATATATATATATATATTTGTTAGGCACCAGCAGTTGATTTTCACCTGAGTAAGCTAGAGCTTGACTACCTGGCAATTATGAATTGTTTATTCATTTCGCAAAGCATAATACATTTTAGTTTATTTTAATATTTTTCTTTAAAGTTTAATTACTCTGAGGGACCACAATTATTTGCAACACGTTCTAGTAGAGGCAATGTAATTAAATTAAGTAGCTATTTTTATAGAATAGCGAACTGCCATGTAAGATAAAATAATAAATTTAATAAAATTGGATTGGCAAGTTACAAGTAAAGATAATAATTTATCTTTTTTTTTTAATTGTGCTTACTAAACCAACTATGAATTTCTACCTATGGCATTTTCACTTTTTAAAATAAAATATAACATCAGTCTGTATGCGAAATGCTAATTGTAGCTACGTCATAAAGTGAGTTGCCAGTTGGTGTTGTCAATGTTGTTTTTTTTTTTCCTGCCAGATTTCTCGCATATTTGTAACCATTTGCTATTTATTCTCAACAGATCGTGTTTTAATGTGTAAGTAACGGCAACCGTGACTACTAGTAACGACAACCGTGGTTGCATGATCGTGCATTCGTGAGCTTGTTCTATTCTTTATGAAACGGGTATACAAGTCAGGCTTGTGATTCATTAAGGCGTGTTGTTAATTAGTCATTTGTATAATTATCGTCGGGACGTATATTGAACGTATCAGAAAATAAATAGCTGTTATTCAGTCGTTATAAGGGGCTGTAATAATGTTGAAATTATTCGAACGGTTGTTTCATGTAGCTGTTTTTTTTTTTTTGTAGTTTTTTATTTTATTTCACATTTGATTAATAAACCACGTATTCATATGAATTCGATTAATTCAACAGCGCGAAATTTTTTAAGTATAACCAACGTTAGCTTACCCATCTGTTTATTATGAATCATTCTTTTAATTGAATGCAAGTGGTAAAGAACATACATATAATTGGTGTGGTGGTTAATACATAAATAAGTAAATTTTCATTATATGCAGTTAAAGGTGTATATATGCATACATATTCATATATATATATATATATATATATATATATATATATATATATATATATATATATATATATATATATATATATATATATATATATATATATATGCGTGTATGTATTTATATGTATGTATGTTTGAGTGTGTATCTACATATCTATGTTGTGTATTTACACATACAAACACACACACACACATATATATATATATATATATATATATATATATATATATATATATATATATATATATATATATATATATATATATATATATATATATATATATATATATATATATATATTTAACTACCTTATTAACGTTTTGGGCGCGTTTGCATTTATTCTCTATATAAACGTGCATAACATATGTGATCTGTTACATCGCATGCTAAAGTGACCATTTCGTTTGAGAGAGAGAGAGAGAGAGGGAGAGAGACAGAGGTCACAGAAAGCTGTTTAAACAGATGAATTTATTTAGAATGGTAGATTTATCATTTCAGCACCGTGATCCATGGAAACTTTGTTTCTTTAGATCTGGTTCAAGTTTTTAAAAACTTTTCTGCGGCCCACACTGTTTTGAATTTGCCTTAAATGGCTGTTCCAATGAAATTATTTTTCTGGTCAGAAAATGGATCAGAACATTAAGCTGAGGAGGAGGCGGGGCGATAACGGCGTAGGTAGGGCGTTAAAACACGTAACGGTTTGTGTGTACATTTTATGGAGACAGGTAGCATGGACAAATAGGATAATTCAAAACTAAATCTTAAAACTAATTAAACATCTTAACATTTAAATTCAAGAAATAAAAAGAAATTACACAAGAATTACATTTAAAACAACGGTTGAATCAGATCTTCTATAAAAATAAAAACACTATAAAACACATAGTACAAGAGACAGCAGTTTTAACGTAACAGTTTTTTATATATGTTGTCCGGGTTGCTTTAAATAAGCTGTGACTTCTCAAGCTTTAAAATAGTTCATGTGTGTGAGACTCAGAAACTTCAACATGTAAACTTGCATTTGCTAATATATATATATATATATATATATATATATATATATATATATATATATATATATATATATATGTATATATATATATATATATATATATATATATATATATATATATATATATATATAATATATGATTATGTGTTATCTGAATTTGTAATTGTATGTGTAGAAGTTACATTTGTTTAAAATGATTACGTTATTTTGTTGGTTATTTTTTGTTGACATCAAAACCTTTTGTTGATTGGAAAAAAACGTCTTGATGTTTTTATATTAATCTTTTATGTCATAAGACTACATCCTCCATAGATCTCTAGGCCGCTCTGTAGGTTGGGGTTTTTTTGGGTTGCTCTGTAGGTTGGGGTTTTTTTTTTGGGCTGCTCTGTAGGTTGGGTTTTTTTTTTGGTTGTGTTAAAACAAGCATCTTTAAAACTGTGTTAACATAAGCTTAAATAGTCCTTTGTTGACACTAGCGTCTATAAGACTTGGTTATTAGAAGCCTCTATTACACTATTTTAGCATAGGCTTCTACAATTGTTTGTTAACAAAAGCATTAATAGAAATTTCTTAATAAAATTATCCATGCTCGTTTATCAACAAAAACCTATTGGGTTTTTATAAACAAACATTTCTATACGTTTTTGTTATCAAAAGCCTATAAAGTTTTTTGTTAACAAACTCCTATATAGGACTGTGTTAACAAAAACCTGTATAGGTCTTTGTTTACAAAGTTCTCTAGAGACCACTAGGCTATGCTGTAATTGTACAGTGTCGATGTATTTTTTCACTCAACTGTATTTATATTGTCAGCTGTGTATAACATGATACATTGTTTTATCAATATCATTAAAATTCTGTTATTATCGATGTAGAACGAGTGCAGAAATATCTTGTTGCTCCTTCCCTCGTCTCCGTGTGCTGTTTATTCTAATGTGTGGAAATTGTTGTTAAACTCTAATGTGTGGAAATTGTTGTTAAACTCTAATGTGTGGAAATTGCTGTTAAACTCTAATGTGTGGAAATCTGGGCATGCCCCAGCAGTATAAAAACCCACTCGGCTTTGGACACTTTTGCTCCTGTAGCCAGTCGACACGTCACTGCAGAACTATCTGCATCTAATGGTATGTTAGCTGCATGAATTAGAACATTGAAACTGTACAGACACGCGAAGAGCTATGGCACCAAGGTGTAAAATAGTGTACACGTCTCTTCTGTCAGATCATAGTTTGGACCCCCACTGTGTACATGTATCGTTGACGGGGGGGGGGGGGGGAGCGCTGGGATTAAAACCAAAACGTAATTGAAAGTCTTCTCCCACAGACCGATACCAAAGATAAGATGATGATTAACATAGCCCGACAGCTTCTTCGATTTTTAGATCCGATACTTGGGGGGGGGGGGGGGGGGGGGGCTGGGTGTTCTAGTGACCCTTGTAACTGCAACTACTTTTCCAACACAACAATTTGTGGCTATTACAATTATACTCATTTGTTAGAACAAAATTAAAAAAAAAAAAAAAAACACTGAAATTGTGCACATTTGATATTGGGTGGTGGACACCAGACCACGATCCCAACTCGAGATTTATACAAACTATTTTTAATTTGTTCTTCAATTTTTTTTCATTCCCTTAAACCAGTGGTTCCCAACCTTTTTCGAGTAGCGACCCCCTTTTATAAAAAGTAGGTGACCCGCGACCCCCATAGAATTAAAAAGCCGAAATTAGTATGGAAATTAATAAATTTCTAGTACTTTCAATATGAACTACTCTTGATAACTGTTTTAATAGCATGAGTAAAATTGCATACTATTCACTAAACTTTCATGGTTAAGTTTTTAATTAAAACAAATTTTTGTTAACGCCAACCTATGTCATTATAATTATCTTAATTTTGTTTTTAATCGAATAATAGTGTTGAAAATATATTCTCAAAAAGTCAATCAATTTTACGTTTGGGTATGAATGGTGAATACTACACCAAAATTGTGTCTGCAGTTTTTCATCTTACTTGGAATCATTCTGCAAATCAAAGAATTAATCTTGTAATTCATAGGGAATGCTGGCAACATCAAGGGAAGAAGAGAATGGGTAATGCGTAAATGCAGATTCTTCTTTTTTCAGCTCAGAGAAATAGCAATGCAGTTCGTTTTCAAGAGATTCAAGATGCCCAGAAATCGCTTCTTTCAAAATTTTAATTATCTCACAATCAGATTCATCTACCACACCGCAGATTTTCTCAAATTTACAATATTTCCAAGATTTATTTTCTTTACCGATTTTGCAGCTGTGATAAAATGCCCCGAGATTATCATGGAAAGTGATAATATTCGTTCATTTTCCATGAAGCTTCAGGTTAAGCTTATCTTGATGTTCAAACACATCTGCTAGGTATGATACTCTCTCCAACCACTCTATGTCGTTTTAAGTGTACCAAAAAGTCTTGTTTCCTTTGCACTTCCAAGAACAATTTAATTTCAGATTTCAATTTAAAAAAAAAACAATTTATAACATTTCGTTTGACAGACAGCGTACTGTAGTGTAGAAGAGCAGAGCCTCGTGATCTATATTAATGTTTTTGCTCAGTTCTTTGAAGGCTCCAGATTTTATATAATTTACGACTTATACTAGCAATGGACTCTTGATGTCGATTGGTTAGGGCAGTGGTTAGGGAGCTAAATCTTTTCTGTTTTCTGAAAGCCCAATTTTGACCTAAACATAGATGGCGCACCAACCGTACAAACCCCCACAGCCGTTCTAACCAATTTTAATCATCCAGTTTCAAAAAAGGTATTTATTTTCTCCATGCTATCT